ATTCTTCAAAAGGCCAATAAAAACTAAGTAAGCCTTTTCTGGCGACGTCATAATTCAACGACTTGCATCGAACAAGTCAGCGAGTCTGACCACCTGATACCTCTTGTCAAAACACATGCGCTGCCGAAAACCAACCTGAGCCCGGATCTCCATATGGACGTTACATGGTGAAATGGGGTAGGGACAATTACCGCACGTGTGATTGTGTAGCTGGGAATGCACATGCTTCAATAAGTGCCCTCTGGACGACATTCTCATTGCAGCAGTATCCATACAGCCCTAGGAACCAAAATATTCTACCATTAAAGATGGGGTACACTATGGAATCCTGGAAGGGACATTGTCGCGTTGTCGCATTGTCGCGTTGTCGCCCTCTCAAATACAAGCAAAATTAAACAAAACGCGACACGAGACGCGACATCGCGACAACGCGACATTTCGCCCATTTGTCGCATTGTCGCGATGTCGCGTGTCGCGTTTTGAATAATATATTTTTCGTTCCTCCAAAGGGCGACACGCGACATAGCGACAATTTTCAAGGTCAAAATATGTCGCGTTGTCGCGCGTCGCCCTATGTAAGATGTGTAAAACAGCCTAAAAATTTACTAAAACGCGACGCGCGACAATGCGACAACGCGACATTTTCATGAAATGTCGCGTTGTCGCGATTATCGCGTCTACTATTAAAATATTGAGTATAGTATGTATTATAACATATGACTAAAACGCGACACGCGACAATGCGACATATTATACGTCGCATTGTCGCGTGTCGCGTTTTCGCCCTTTCGATTACCGGTGCGCATGTGTAGAAAGTCAATTAGTCTACGCATGCGCGAAATGTTATATTATACTCTATTTCAGACTTCACTGGTCTTTTGTTACCTCAATGGTTTTACAATGAAGTAGTGCTCGTAATGGCAATGGGGGCTGCTTTTCTTGAACTTAATGGAAATCTTTCATTGTTGCTTTATTATTTTATATATTGTAACTGTGTTTAGCCAATCAAGTGTGTTTTAGCAGCAAGACAAATTATTAGCGCTACTATTCATTGTAATGACGGCACACGGTGGCCCTGTCATTCAAGGCGAGGCAATTTGCTATGCAGGGTTGTGTCTCTTAGTCACACTAGATAACTATGATCATAGGTTCGAATCCCAGCACCATACACATTCATCACTTTGAACATTTCACCTATATCAAGCTCACAGGTTGTGAAAAAACTCAAATATTGTTAAAATTCAGGCCACATCGGCATAAACATCAGGTGAAGTCCTCCAATGGGTCACTATGTTCGACAGTGTGGCTCCTGACAGAGTTTCTTAATTGGTACAGTCCTGTCCGACGCTGATGAATTTGTCCGACATCTGCCTCTGTTCAACCAGCAGTGGATGGATACCAGGTAGAATGAGATGGTAATATCACTTAACCATCCAGCACCTCAAAGACAGTTTAGGTCGGCTTTGAACGTGATATTCTTCTTGGGAAAACGCCATACAAATGGACTGTTATCATTATGATATTAGAAACGATGAAATCGCTTAGCAGAGTTGCGTACCCTTGGAGTGGCAGAAATCAACCCTCCCTCTCTCACTCCGCTCCGCTCCGCTCCTCCATTGCGCTCCGCTCCGCCCCACTCCGCTCTTCTCCACCCCGCTCCTCTCCGCTCCACTCCTCTCCTCTCCTCTCCTCTCCTCTCCTCTCCTCTCCTCTCCTCTCCTCTCCTCTCCTCTCCTCTCCTCTCCTCTCCTCTCCTCTCCTCTCCTCTCCTCTCCTCTCCTCTCCTCTCCTCTCCTCTCCTCTCCTCTCCTCTCCTCTCCTCTCCTCTCCTCACTCTCTCCTCTCCTCCCTCCTCTCCTCTCCGGCTCCACTACCTTCCTCCTCACTCACTCACTCCTCAAGGTTTAGGGAACTTGGTAAATTAGCAAGATATTTCATTACGATAATGTGTTGTGATGTCTGTTTTCAATTCTATTTGAATCCTATATTATTTATAATAATACTAATAATATACCAAGCGATACACATGTACTTGTATCGTTTCAAACATACACCTACTCAATCATAATAATTTTCAGCAAAATGGCAAAGATTGCCATTTTCAACACATCCATTCCATTAACCAAGAACTCTTAACCCACAGACTTCACGGCACATTTATTATTACTCTGAGTTCGATCCCTGTGTATCTTAGCCCTTTAAAACATTTAAACATAATCATCCTTGTAAAAGTTTTGAAATTCCGCCGTAACTAATAAAACGCGTTTTTTTGATGAAATGTCGCGTTGTCGCGCGCAATGTCGCGCTTTGTTAAAATTTTGAGTATAGTATGTATTATAACGTATTTGACTAAAACGCGACAATGCGACAACGCGACATTTTGATGAAATGTCGCGTCGTCGCGCGTCGCGTCGCGCTTTGTTAAAATATTGAGTACAGTATGTATTATAACGTATTTGACTAAAACGCGACACGCGACAATGCGACAACGCGACATTTTGATGAAATGTCGCGTTGTCGCGTCGCGTCGCGCTTTGTTAAAATATTGAGTATAGTATGTATATAACGTATTTGACTAAAACGCGACACGCGACATTTGACGACAACGCGCATTTTGATGAAATGCGACAATTGTTAAAATATTGAGTATAATATGTATTATAATGTATTGTATTAAAACGCGATAATGCGACAACGCGACATTTTGATGAAATGTCGCGCTGTCAGCGTCATGCTGTCAGCGCTGTTAAAATATTGAGTACAGTATGTATTATATAACCACAGGAGTTCGAATCACTGTTTGGACAATACAAATAAAAGTCTAGACTGTTGCAATCGTATGTTGTTGTTTTATGTTATGATTAACCTATATTTCAAATTTGAACGAGATCGGTGAAGAAATGAATTTTTAAGAAAATTCTACCGCTACACTCATTACATACAATACTCAAAGGGTGACACTGGCGATGCTCAAAACCTTATCGAAAACCGGACAGCCCGACTATTTTAACGTGCGGTTCAATCAAAACTTTACGTTTTCACAAAACATTGTTTTGAGCTTGTAGGTTTATTCTTTTACCTTTCTGCTCATTGTATTCAATTTGTCTACCCGCTTTTGATATTTGAACACTGACCCTCGCATTAGCACTACCCTCTGCTTTGAACAAATGTCTGGCCTCTCTTCGGTAAACATCGACAGTTTCCGTAAATCTTTCCGTGTGCGAAAACGTTATTTATGCAGGTTCGAGACACGAAAATCGTTACAATAACAAAGACCCCATTTTCAACACCGACATGTGCGTTGATATTTCCTGCCATCTCGCTATTGTGTCAAAATCGTACACATAAAACATGGTTCTGAACGACCACATTGATTGAATATAGTTAGCATCTTTATTTTAACATAGTTGATGACGTATAATTCGATGATTTGGTCCCATTTTCTCCTGTTGTATGCTGGAAATAAACTGAACACCCAGTAATAGTAACTAGAAAATTGTTGTTTACCACATTATGTAATCAATAATAAATAGATCTAATACATGTGTAACACATAACTGATTAATTCAACCATTTGTTTTTGACAATGTATGTGAAGAAGAATATATTTATTATTTTTACTCATTTTGCATATATCATTTCAAAATAACATCCATTTCTATTCTTCCATTTTGCATGAGGTTGATCATGGTGATGGAATAGACATAATGATCTTCAGTGACCATGGCATTACAACATCTGCGTGATGCCTGTCATTTTCTGGATATGTAAAATCACATGACTATGATAAAAATAAAACTGAATGTACCCCATTACCCATCCCACTCCAGATACAGCTACAGTTGTTTTTATGTAATCGGAAACGGACACATTATGGAATATAAATAGAAGGAATCAGATAAACTGTTGATAGAACAACACCATGATAGTTGTAGGTTGTTAAATAATCATGGTTTAAAAAGGAGAATATATATCTTCACTTTTCCCACATCTTGTGTTAACCACACATATTCAAATCCAGGTCTAAACAGAATATCTTTAATATGAGTAGCCCATGTGGTACAGCCAGAAGTCATCCATTAGGTAGCCTTGGCAGTCTGCATTCATCCAAATGCAGTAGCCTGCACCAATACTTAATAGCCCTTGTGGTGTTGACAAGTTGGAGAGGGGCTGTGCCACATTCTCCCAAAACGATACCATTGTTTTGAGAAACCATTTATACATTTTATACTGAACATCTTCAATAGTTCAATAAGAATGAGGTACCATATACCTCTGCACCATAACACACCATAGGAACAATCATAGCATGAAATATATACTGAGTCAAAAACTTCACAAAATGTAATTTGAAAAATAATGAATATTTTTCTCTGATGATACATCTATGTATCCGAAATGGGATCCCTATCTTTCGACTCTAGAAAAACGTTAGCAAAACCCACTCAAACCCATCCATTCGTCGTGCAAATGACGTTAGTGCCAAATCAGGTTTTGCACGTGCAGTCGATCACGTGATCTTCGCATCGAAGTTTTCTTCATATGCACGTGTTTGCATTGGCCTCAAGAATTGAAAAAACACTTTTAAACCACAGTTCTAACGGTACTTGAAATGCCACGATTGTCAAATGTTCAACGTGAACGTGCCGTCGGCATGTTGCAAGCGGGAAGATCAGTTATTGACGTCGCAAGAGCAATGGGATGCAGCCGTCGTACTGTGTATGACTTGCGAGGTCGTCTACAACAAACTGGCACCACTTCTGATCGCCCAAGGTCGGGTCGTCCACGTGTGACGTCACGAGCAGAAGACCGTCAAATCGTCCTACGTCACCTACGTGACAGATTTCTGCCGGCTACACGAACCAGGGCTGAGATGATTAGAGGTCGACTGTCCTCACAGACCATTCGAAATCGGTTGCGGGCTGCCAATCTCCATTCTCGACGTCCATATCGTGGGCCAATATTGACGCCGTTTCATCAACGTCAACGTCTGCTGTGGGCCCAACGTCACCTCCGATGGACCCAGAGAGACTGGAATCGAGTCGTCTTTAGCGATGAATCCAGGTTTACCCTCAGATTCGCGGACGGCAGGCATAGAGTCTGGAGACGACGCCGTGAACGGTATACAGGAAGTCGACAGATTCGGGGGCGGAAGTTGCATGGTGTGGGGTGCTTTCTGTGGGAACAACCGTTCCCGACTTCTGGTCATCCGTGGAAACCTCACACAGCTGCTGCTTACCGCGACCAGGTGCTCACCCTGAACTCGTTCCTTTCATGGCGGCTCATGGCCCAGGTCTACAGTTCCAGCATGATAATGCTCGGCCGCATACCGCGATGTTGACACGAAATTTCCTTCAAAACGCTGGAATCAACGTCATGGACTGGCCATCGAGGTCCCCTGACCTTAATCCAATACAGCACGTTTGGGATGCACTTGGGAGAAGGCTTCGTGGTCTTAGGAACCAACCTCAGAATTTGCAGGAACTTGGCGCTGCCTTGCAAGAGCAATGGCGCAGAATCCCCAACCACGTGTTCACAAGCATCAGGCAGTCGATGAGGAGACGGTGTTTGGCAGTGGTGAATGCGCGGGGCGGCCATACACGATATTGAACTGAGAAATTTCGCATTTTTATTCTTGTGACTTGACATTCTGTATACCCATGTTTTGGAACGGCGGTGTAGCCTAATGGAACTGATTATGGCACTGTCAGTGTATCGAGTACATCACACAGATCTCAGCAATGAAATAATAACAATTTAACCATCTTTTGTTCTTTTATAGTGCCCTGAAGAAAGAATGTGAAGTTTCTTTTTTGACTCAGTAGGCTCCTTGGCTTTAGTTCTATCTAGCCTATTGTGTCTGTCACATAACTGATGAAAGTAGTAATAGTTTTAGTTAATATGAATCATATCACTGCTAGTCGAATGCTCTTCGACTGGAAGCACTGGAAGGTCTTTAAGTTTCGATAAATTCATCACCAAACCTTTTTTCTTAGATTAGAAAATATCACTTGGGTATCATGAATCTCAAAACAGAAGAACCCTTTGTTCAAACATCTATCTTAATTACCTCTAACAAAAAATCATGAAGAAGATATGTACCAAACGGTGATACTTTTCACATGCACCGAAGAACAGAAACTGATCAGCTAACGTTTGAGATACATACGGCTAACTTTCATTGTGTTCTCTAGAGAACCGATGAAGATAGCAACTAAAATGTGGAAAATATAATTTCACTTGTCCCTCTGTTGTCTTTGGAGATACATTACTGCAATCGTTAGTTATAATCCACACTAATAGCCCACTTGTACAGGTACATTTTGGTCGAAATCGGACGGTTGGTTTCAGAGTTACGGGTGTTTGAATTGTATTTGAGGGCTAGAAATCGCCCCAAACGCAGCCAGAACACGTTTTTGACACGGGAGCGAATCGTTGAAATGCAGCCGGGGTCGCGGGGGTCATGTTCCTTTTAAGAAGTTCTTAAGAAGAAATAGTTCCCTCTTTAAAAGTCGGTATCTCAGTTGTCTTTAGTCTACGGTCAAAACAATTAGTGTTCTGGAATCACCAAGACTTTGTTATCTATCGTCCTGGGTGCCGTTCCACTAACCGATCTTAGCCCTATGCCAATCGTAAACCCCTAAAATCCCAATCTTAGCGTGACGTTACGGCGTACCGTTCCACTAACCAATCTTACCCAAGTCAATCGTAAAGTTAAGATTCAAAGTCTAAGTTGCCCATGACCAACTTAGGATAGCTAAAATCAATCGTAGAGAAACCAAAATGGTAGCTTTCCTATTCTATGTGAAAAATAAGAGCGAGCATTTCACCGTGAGCGTCCCCTAAAATTCCCCATGAAATGAATTTGTATATTTCTGTGATGTAAACAAACACTGCACTGAAGCCTTACAAATGTCAGGCCAGTCTGACCACTGTCGTCATGGGAACACAACCGAGCGAGTCGGTGTAACACATTTGTACAACATAACGACAGCCGTAAAGTGAACAATGTTCTGAAACAAAAGATACAAATATGTTTGATTTCACGTGCGCTTATTTGGTGGGGGATTCTAAATACAGGCCGCGTGTTATTCAAGACCACTGACAGATTCTACATACGTTATAGAGGATGCCTCCTCACGCCTTGTTTATTCTGATTGACAAGGTTCAGGCACTGACACAATTGACATTTTTAAAGTCCAGACTTAAAACCTGTTCTCAGTATATTAGTAATACTTATAATCTCGGCTGTAAATACTCTCGTGTAAATTATCTGTACATAGCGTTTTGAGCATGCCCCAGGATGTGGAATAGGCGCACTATAAATATGCATTTATTATTATTATATTATGCCTGATACCCAGCGTTCACACGCACTTGCACCTGAAACCAAGGTGCTCACTACCCTAATATTTTGCTCTAGGTTTTTCTACGCGTTTACACTTGGTTGGAAAAATACCCATGAAGGCCGGGTTAGAATATTGAGCTTCAATAACCCATGCTTGTCGTAAGAGGCCACTAACGGGATCGGGTGGTCAGGCTCGCTGACTTGGTTGACACATGTCATCGGTTCCCAACTGCGCAGATCGATGCTCATGCTGTTGATCACTGGATTGTCTGGTCCAGACTCGATTATTTACAGGCCGCCGCCATATAGCTGGACTATTGCTGAATGCGGTGTAAATCTAAACTCACTCACTCACTCAGTTGGTTCGTAAACTACTTCCATCATTTGCAAAGGGAGATAACTCGTGCCTCGCATTCCTCTATCTTTCGCACGAAAGAGTCTCGATCTAAGCTTGGATCGGATCGTAAGATCGGGACCGGCTACGATCGGCCTAAGATCGGGTAGTGGAACGGGTGTAACTTTTAGCTAAGACGATTGTAAAATTGGCGTAACTTGCTAAGATTGATCTTAGGTAAGATCGGTTAGTGGAACGGCAACCTGGCACTTTTTGTGCAGAATTTGCACAATCGTACTGGACATCAGTTAAACAAATATAACTGCCAAACGGTACATTTTAGCGACTTGACCCGTCCAAGCAAAATTGTAGGCATTTTGATTGCGCATCTGCTCAAGAACTTTGGCACTTATAAGATTAGTAGTTTTGCACATACTTGCTTTTGAAACTGAATTTTTAAAATAATTTTGAATTATCTGCCCTTTGCTATTGGGCCTAGAGCATTGAGATTTTAATGGGGAATATCTACACCTCGATGGGCATCTAGGTAACCTTTCTCAAGCGATTCTGTCCACTGGTGCTCTTTGTAGGGTTGGTACAAAATACGGCGGAATAATAAATAATAATAATAAAAACATTAACGATTACAATAGGTCTCCTGCCTATCTTAAATAAATCTGGACATGGTATATTTCCAACTTTCTTTTAATATCTGTACAATGTCATAATAGCCTTTTCAATCTCTACACCAAGAGTAGTTAGTGCTTTAGTCCAAATAAGGATAGGTGTTAACACAATACCCAGATTTCTAGATACAAACCATACAATTTCAATTTAAAGCAAATATCAATAGTGAACTGGCTAACAAATTCAGAGCACTGTCATTCTCCAAAATTCAATGTAAAATCACTGATTATGTGTTGAAATATGTTTGTATGCACAGCCCCAAAGTATAATAAAGTAACGCAAAAAGACTCCATTGTAGCATTTAATCAAACTTGTTAACTGCTGAATAATTGCTGATATCAAATTATATGATTATTAACATGTATCAGATCTATTCTAATATCAACCAGGGTTATCATGCTCAAAATAATCAATATATACTCTCCCAAAAAGAAACGCATCGTGAAAATAGCAATTTCATGTAGCAATGAATGAAAACGTGATTCATTTTACAAAAGGTTTTGCTCTGTTTATGAGTCCTATGGTGTTTATGTTTTGAAACATCACAACAAAACGCACCATCCGTAAAATACCCGTATTTAACAGCATGATTTCGGCGTGTAGTGTCACAGAATACACAATTCACATGCAATGCACGTGAAAGTTGGGGATCAGATAGTCTCAATGATTGGTATAAAAGGTTGATCGTTGCCTGTCGATTATTCACTGTATTTGGAATATTGTTGACGAACGCAAAATGCCACGTCTAAGTGAAGCCAACCGTCATATCGCCATTGGTTTGCTTGAAGCTGGCGTCTCAACGTGCAGTTGCCCGACGCATGAATGATCACCAAAGCACCATTTCACGGCTCTGGGAGAGATAGCGCCGGCATAATGCCCCTCGTAGTGGGCGACCTCGAGCGACCACTGCGGCGCAGGATCGCTACATCCGGGTACATCACCTGCGTCATCAAACAGCTACGGCGACCAGTACCGCTCCACAAATACCCGGATTGAGGAGGCTTTCTGCACAGACTGTCAGGAACAGGTTGAGAGAGGCTGATTTACGTGCCAGAAGACCTAATTTTGGCCCTGTGCTTCGACAACAACATCGTCGACATCGAGTTCAATGGTGCACCAACGTTCAGGCCTGGAACCTACCGAATTGGCGTAGAATCTGGTTCAGTGATGAATCACGATTTCTATTGGAACGACGCGATGGAAGAATGCGGGTGTACAGACGTCGACGTGAACGTTTCGCCCACGCTTGCGTTCCCCAGGTGGACAGATTCGGCCGACAAGATCACCGGACTTAAACCCGATCGAACATCTGTGGGATGCCCTTGACAGACGGGTGCGACGCCGTAACCCTCAGCCCCAGACACTTCAGCAACTCGCACAGGCACTACAGGCAGAGTGGGCTGCGATTGGGCAACACGAGATACTGAGACTTATTCGTTCGATGCCGAGGCGATGCCGTGCAGTTCTGGATGCCCACGGTGGTCACACGAGGTATTGACTTCAGCGCCACCACACGTCTCCATGTGACACTCAAACTGACTTTCCTCGAGTTGGTGCCAAAGACGGATAAGTCTGCATTCCCAGTGTGCAATTTCGCTATATTTCATTCACGCATAAAGCCTACAAGATGTTTCAAAATAAA